CCAAAACTTTCTTTCAAAACAAGAGTCCACATCCTTATCCATTCACTGTCTGATTTTTTTCAAAATTTAACTATTCTGACCATTACAAAAAGTGCATCTAAACGATCTTGGAAATGGTCCCATTATACGAATCTCCATTTAGTCCACAGTTCACACAGCAATATCTAAAATTAGCATAGTTATATCGAATCTCCACTGCCCTGTCTACGGCAGGATAATAGAAGAATATATTGCTCTATTCACTCCCATATATTAGCATAAACACTACAAATACTATGCAACGAACCAATGAAATAGTTCAATATATATTTTTAGTACTTTGTTTTTATAAATTTTGCCCCACACTAGGATTTTTTCCTGTGTCGTGGGTGGGTTTATAAACATACAAGTTCACATACACATGACACCCAGACCCGGAACAATTATTTGTGGATCACACAAAGAGTTACTCTGTGCGGGAATCGACTCGTGACACATTGCGCAGTAGCCAGTTCCCAATCATCACGCCAACCAGCTGCAGTGCAGTCATTACTACATAGCCGAGCGTACGACGCGTCGCGTTCCGCGCGCGCCTCAAAGAGCCATCAGACCACCGCGGATGGGGCTTGGGGCCCAATAAGGCTAATGCCGATTCGGAGTAGCGGAGAACCTAACGGGTTACCGGGGCTCCGGCTAGAAGCGCAGGAGAAGGAACGGGGTGGTTTTTAGTCAGTAAGAGTCTGACACTCCCTCCCGCCTCATCCGGGCGGGAGCAGACATTCGACGATTTTACCCCAAAAAAAAAAATTACCTACAACATAACAGACATTACTATATAATCACACACTTTTACCATTTACGCTATTACAATCAACTTGAAAACGAGTCTCTATAAGGCACAATACCCAATATCCACACCCCGTATCCACACAAATACGTACCTACATAAGCCAGCTCAATAACTTTAAGAACAAGACCCCACATCCTCATCATTCACTGTTAAACTAACAACACAATGAAAGAAAAAGGAACAATCCAAAATAAAATACACCAAGAACTAAAGGACCCGGCATTAGAGTCAACTCGTTGTATAGAGGCGACAGTTACAAGTGAACAACAAGTACGTTGGGGCAATCATACTGCCAGTATACCGGCTTAGGGCGAGGACACACGGCACTGCGATGATGACGCTTTATTAAAAAAACTAGCTTTTACCCGCAGCTTCACTCGCGTCACAAAAGGATAAAAAGTAGCCTGTGACATAATAAAATACCAATACACACAGCGCCATCTATACCAATTCTTTTGTTTGCCCTCACGAATATCAACTTTTTACGGGATAAAAATTACCCTATTATTTAATTCGGACTTCTAACTTTACGTCTGCAAAATTTCAAAGCAATCGGTTTAGTAGTTACGGCGTAAAAGCGGAACAAACAAACAAACTCACTTTCCGATTTATAATATTAGTAAGGAAGTAAGGATTGTCGCAGAATATTGCGGTGCCATGATTTAATTAAAGAATTTCATTGCATGTGACGTTTTACGGCAACCGTTTTTTTTATGTGGTAAGCCAGTAAACGAGCAGACGTATCAAGTGATGGTAAGCAATCGCCACCGCCTATGGACACCTGAAACACCAAAGACGTTACCAGTGCGTTACCGGCCTTTTGGGAATTGGTAATTTGAGGATTGTGGTGGATTCGGTCGATTTTCTGTGAGGCCTTGGTATCACTCTGGTCTAGCTGGCCCAATCGTGACGAAGCATAGGTCTCCTACACTTAAAATATAACAAAATTAAAAGTCCACTCGATGCTTGTTTAGTGATGTAATCCAGCATTGATATTGCTTGAAAAATAGCAACCACGAAGTTTATTGCTCGGCCTTCTCAAATACTTTAGACGGTACAAATAGATTTACTTAAAAACTGTCTGAGAGACCAAATTAACTCGTCGAGTACAGGTTTTGTAGACACAATTATAGAACAATAGGTTGCGGTCACCGGTGACCGCTTGGTGTTTGACAGTTTAAATTAATTAATTTTAATTTTTGGATTGTTTGACTTAAAAATAACCTCCAGTCTAATAAAGTTTCAATAAAAAACTAGATTTAGAAACATACATAACCTCCCGCCTCAATGGGGGGTTTTTTTTTAGGGGGGGAAAATCATCGAATGACTGCTCCCGCCTGGGTGAGGCGGGTCTCAATGGGGGTAGGCAGTTTATGGAACGCCAATTGCTTAGTACAATTATTTCTAAAACTCTTAACATTAGCTCAGTATGGTTGATTTACTTTTAAAATTTGACTACGCATGTACGCAATACATTATGATGCATTGTGCCGAGTCGCAGACTTTTGCGATACAATGCAAAAATCGCACCAGCCAGAACGAGCATTATGACCGTGCCTTAAGCAGGGGGCACATCGAGTGCCACTGCCCCCGTGCCATTGGACAACAAGACAGCAATAACAACAAACGTTTTGCGCTGAAATTTACAATCGAAACGTACACGTCAAAGGGTAGGAGGGTGGGGCGTACGGGATGAGATTACAGCGGATTGCGAGATTTACCATTAGGTGGATTTTCTGATGCCTTTAGTTTTAATTTTGACATAACATAACATCATTTTATCCCCGAAGAGGTAAGGAGAGGTGCACATTACGGCACTTAATGCCATTGTACAATGTAACACCCACTTTTCACTATTTATGTTATGAATCCCATGTAATATGGGGTGAGCTTATTGCCATATACCAGGCACAATTCCAGACTCCGTGCTACTACTGAGATTTTTTTAAAACGCAGTAACACTGCACCCGATCTGGGAATCGCCCCAAGACTCCTTGCCGAGTCGCACTTGCGACCAATCGGACAATGAGGCAACCGTCGTTTTAATTTTGAATAGGCTTATTATTGAGAATTCATTCTTGTGTAAGGGCCTGAGATCAGATCAAGTTCAGTTGTGTTTTATCTAATTCCAGATTCTGGAAATAAACCTGTTCAAAATTAGTCTCAGAAACCAATATAATAATGAATGAGACTAATTTTAAAATATAGTGGAGAAAACTTGGTGTATTATTCTATCCAATTTTGCCACAGAGGCTATTGCCACAGTACTATCAACTATTTATTTATAAATTCCTACCTGTGCCCGCGACTTCGTTCGCGTGGAATAGAGATTTACTGCGCGTACCCCATAGATGATAGCGTGATAATGTGTAGCCTATATGTAGACCTGACCTGTTAATAATAATCATACAAAATTTGAAGTAAATCCATGCAGTACTTTTTGGGATCATCCCGGACATACATACAGTCTAACAGACAAAAATTCTAATCCCATATTTTTCGCTTCAGTATCGATTGTATCACGTCCCAAGTATTCTTCTAAAAAAAATATTTAATGTACAATTTTGACTTTTCTACGATTTCATTATATGTATGTATACATACTTAGATAGATATAGATATAGATGCACACTGTCTGTATAACTGAAAGCAGAAAAACTGTAAATAATTTCCCCATTTCGAAGCCCATCGCACCTTAAACCTTAGCTAAACAACAACGTCAAGCAAGTAAAAGGACAAAAAAACACAGAAACAAAAATCGCTCCCCGCCTAAACTCGAAACATCAATACGCAAAGCTATCGTGTATGCAAATTTCGACTCTCTGGCGAACAACTTCAATTTGTCCGCCATACTTCCATTTTTAACCCTCTTTTACAAACACAGCTTCTATTCCCGATAATTAAATTCGATGGAACATATATTTATTTTGTTACTGAATCTAACGTTTATAGGATTTGTGTTGGCGATTTTTTTCGATTGGAAGGTGATAATTGGGTTTTAACACGACTCTAAAAAAATGAGGTTCTCAATTTGATCTGTATGTATGTGCGTATGTATGTTTTTTTATCTTTGTCGTTATTAGGTTAACTTGAAGATCTTCTATACCAGGGGTGGCCAACTTGATTAGACCTAAGATCTACTGAAACGAAATCCTGTGCAATCTACCAAGTACATACTTCTTGAAATTAAACTGCATAGTTTAGTACACAATAATGTATTTTTTATTGACCTGTCATAGTGGTTTCTTTTCATATCACATGTGAGATCGTTTCCTTAAATTTACCTACTTAGCATTATATGGGTCCTATATATTAGTGTGAGCATTGCGCCTGAGCATTTTCCACTAGTTTAGCATAATCTAGTTTGTAGATAGTAGTCTAGTCTATTTATTTATGTATTTGTCTTGCCACGATCGACTAGACGAACAGTCGCGATCGACCGGTCGATCGCGATCGACCGGTTGGCCACCCCTGTTCTATACTAATAGGATCGCTTTGCACATGTCTTTTTAGTTGATTTTCAATGTAGATTAA